CACGGCTGTGAGCTATTTATTCCCAGGAGAGGTTTCAAGAATAAACAGGGAAACAAAAATGAAGAGATTTGCCTAGGGTGAGATGGGAGAATTCTATCATTTATTTAGAATCAGAAAATCAAACTAACTCCAATGAAATATTTTTAAAGGTTTATTTAATGTCTATCTTCCACGTTAAACTGGGGCTGGATTAAGAGGCAATCCAGTCAGACAGCTACTCCAAACATCAGTCTAAAAGGGGAGCCAAAAATCGCCTACTGTTTAGAACTTCACCAGGATGTGATAAGATGAAAGGAACGTAACCACTTTAAGAATACCGACTGAATGAAAGGAACGTGGTCACCCAATAAAGAACGAAATACCTCCTATATTTAACTGATCCAAACAGATCAGTTAAATTGCCTTCTTAGCTTTGCTGTGTGAAATTTGCAGATTTCAGGCCAGAGCTATTATTGGTCTATACTGGAGAGTAGGGACAGAGAACTCCCATAAAACGAGACTCAGATTTCACTCTCAGTCCAAAGGAATGCCAAATTATTCCCCTGCACGGGGTAGCCACCCGTCTTGGTGTGGCCCTGATTAGAGAAAGAGCTCCATGTGGACAAGGGCTGTACCTGTTCTGTTCATGACTGCTCATTCAGCATCTAGCTCAGTGCCCAGCCAAAATGCATACCCTAGAGGCATGCCATTGCTCAGCTCCAGAGAGTACCATTTGCGGCATATGCTGCTGCTTTATAAGCCTCACAGGTGGTGTGCTTCATGCAGGCTTGTACACATGGCCCCCCAGATTTGTTGACTGACCTACTGAATGGGTAAACAACATATAGATAGAGGGGAAATAACTTTTTCCCAACAATCTTTCCTCCCTACATCCGCTTCATTGCCTTAATGTAGTCTCTGGCCTTCTTCATTCAAGTTGAGGGGCCAGATGCGTTCTTTTCTGCCTCCAGTCTCCTTACCCAGTAAGAGTCATCTCTCTATGGCAGGACCAGACCGTGCCACTTCCTTTCTTCAAAGCCTCTGATGCTTCTCACTGACCATGGAAAGGACAACATTTTTAACATAGAAAATGAGACCATCTGTGAGTGGCCCCAAATTGCCCTGGCCAGCATCATCTCCTACCACTCCCTCCTTTCTGCTCTGTGCACAGCCATGTCCAGGGGTCATATTCACTATGTGCTTTCTCCCTTGGTGCCTCTGCACATTCTCTTCCTTCCACCACAGATAATGGTCAGGGTCGTGCGGGATGCTCGTTGTCCTAGTCCATTTACGTTGCTATAAATTACCTGAGGCTGGGTGATTTATAAAGAAAGAAAGTTTATTCAGCTCACGGTTCCGCAGGCTGTACAAGAAGCATGGTGCCAGCATCTGCTTGGCTTCTGGTGAGAGCCTCATCCTGCTTCCACTCGTGGCAGAAGCTGAAGGGGAGAGGGTGTGCAGAAAACATGTGGCAAGAACAGAAGCAAGAGAGCGCAGGGGCTGGAGGGAGGAGATGCTAGGCTCTTTTTAATAACCAGCTCACCTGGGAACTAATGGAGCAGAACTCATCCGCACGGGGAGGGCACCAAGCCACTTATGAGGGATCTGTCCCTATGACCCAAACACCTCCCACTAGGTCCCACCACCACCATTGGGGATCAAATTTCAACACGAGATTTGGAAGGGATAAATAACTAAACTATATCACCCTGCTATTGAAATTCATCTGGTGTTTTTATAATGATTACACAGGAGTATGGGATTAGGGGAAGAAGACCTTAGAGGCAAAGGGCCATTCCTTTTGCCTAATATCAAGGATAAATGATATCAACCTGTCTTATCACTGTTCCTGTTAACCTTCATCACCTGGCTGAGATAGCGTGTGCTACTTTTCTCTATGGTAAAGTTATTCTCCTCCCCCAAGCTTCCACACTGTACTCTTTGGAAGGAGAACACTATTCCAGCTCATACGTAAGGGATGGAAAATATGTTCCACCTCCTTGAAGAGGGGAGCATCCATATAGATTATCAGATGAGATTTTTAAAACATTTGGTTCTCTTAAATACCTATGTTTACTCAGCTATTCCTAATATCACATTTGTCTTATTATCAGTGGATTGTTTTGACTTTGGGTAGTCATAATTAGGGTAAAAGGTAGATACATCGTTCAGTTTTTAAATTTCTTTTCTGGGGCTTATGCTATCAACCAGAATTACTTGCTACATTTTTAATATATAACTTATCATTTTTATTTATTTCTCCTAATCTTTCTTTCTTTATAACCTTTACAGATAATGCAAACTTCGTGTCTATTCTTTAGAAATAAGAGAAACAAAAGTCTTGAAATGTTAATGATTTAGTTTAGCAGAAAATGAAAACTGACAAGCCATACTCCTTCTGCTTTACATATATCCTTCTAAAAAGAAGCAGCAGAGGAATTCTGATCTGTTAGAAAAAAGAATTTATTCTTAAAGTTGTACAAATGCTTTCTGACCATTAAACTACAATTCAGTGCACTTTCAAGAATTTGTTCTTATACTCCTAAAGTCTCTCTCCAGTATGTTATAACCAGAGAATCATGATCTGAGCAGAAAGAGGTGGCTTTCTTCTGTGAGTGCCTGCAATGCATGTTCTCCAGTTAATATGCTTTACCAACTAAAGAATTTGTCATTGCCTGTTGTCAGATTCAGGCAAATTATTCTATTCTTGAATTGGCAAGTCTTTAGGTTAAACATCTCTTGGCAAAGCATACTGTGTTTGTAAGACCTTTCTGTTTGAAAGGCAGAAAAACTCATCACACACAAAAAAAAAAGTGTCTTGTTTTTGTCCCCAACAGAAATCAGCTTTAAAAAATGCAGCAAATCACACTCAGGTGGTAACTAGTTCATCACTAGTCGTTCCACTGAATTCAGCTGCCTTTTTTCCCAAGCTAATTTATGTGTAGATACAGCCTAAATTTATATCGTTTTAAATGTATAGTAAACTTTTTATCTCTAAGTTCTCCTAATAATTAAATAGCTAGGACACACCTCAACTGACCTGAATTTGATCCCTGGAATCCCCCTAAAAGTGCTTTCCCTGGGGTAGAATTTCCCTAAGGGAAAAAAAGGAACAAAAGAAATGAACTCAGACTTTATTTTGGAATGTGTGTATTGGTAAGGAAAAGGAACTATTAATCAACGAAAATGTGCCTTAAAGTTGAACTTTCTAAGGCAGACTTGCATAGTACTTAGTAAATTAAAAGCACAAAAAGCCGTGGGCAATAGACTGAGTGAGTGTCACATTAGCCATTTTATTTGGTTTTGAAGTGACAGTCTATGAGAGGCAGATCATGTCTGCCTGATGATTTCCCCACATGTACACAGGTGACACTGGAAGATAACTCAGGCAGACACATGTCTGGCATGTTGAGCCAACACCACCGAAGTACACGAGTGACTACTTATCCATTCTTTCTGCAAGAAGAGTCACCCTTGAAAGCTATGCACCTCTATACGTGTTGATATGAAGTGAGAACCACAACCATTACATTTGAAAAACAGCATGCGAAGTAGGATTTAGTTTTTGGCAAAACAGAAATCTAAAGTATAAATGTCTCTGTATGCCAGCAAAAAAGTCTAAAAATATTTATACACTAAATGTTACTGGTTAGTGCTGAATAGTGGGAGTGCGACTTATTTTTAGTTTCCTCTTGTACTTTATTATACTTCATGAATTTCTATAACAATTTTTAAAACATTTTTAAAATATGTAAATCAACATGTTTTTTCTCTTTCCTATTGGGATTTTCTTTCCATTTTGTATTCATACTTCTCGTAACACTCTACAAATGTGACCTTTACTATCATACCCTTCCCTAGTTGCAACCAAGTGGAAAAAAATTTAAATTCCTTGACAAGATATATTGATGATATGGTATCTGATGATTACTAGGATTGACTAGAGGCCACAGGAAAAAAAGGAAAATTCCATTGGTATTTTTTACCTGGAAAAAATTTTAAAGGCCTCTAAAGATTTATGTAACAATCTGGGTATATACCAAATTGTTCTATTTATAGCATATGTTATCATTGATGGTATCAAACATAGCTTGATGTTTTTCCAAGAGAAAGAGAAGTGTGCAGTGTTTCTTGGTTAACTCACAGAACTAAAAGCCTCAAAATCTCCTGGAACAGATAGAATCTATCCAAGTTCCTTTGGTAGGAATGAGGAGAAGTTTATGCATTTAATAGGCATAAGTTATAAGTTCTCATATTCAAGAGTTTCCAACAGTTTGAGCTTTTTTTTTTTTTTTTTTGAATTGTTAAATAGGAGGGTTTCTGGCTGCAAAACTATAATATGCATTGACTTTGACGATGTATGAGCCAAGGAAAGAACACTGGCAGTCCCAGCAGGAATACGATTTTCACATGCCCTGTGCTGCTTCTCTACACAGAGGCCGTTCTCTGGGTCAAGCACACAGCTACAGGAGGGATAGGCAGACTCAAAGCAGTGATGGAGGAAGGAGACCAACACAGAATCAACAGGAGTCAATTGGACTATGTTCCTGACACTGAAAAATTCATTGAACATAGAAAACCACAATCTAGGATTGAGAGCATAGGTCCTAGAACAAAAGCTTCCACCTTCAGTGTTAAATCACCCATAGAACTTGTTAAAACAGAGTCCTGAACATTACCCAAAAGGTTTTCAGTCAGTCTAGAGTGCACCCAAGAACCTGCCTTTTTGATAAGTTCCCAGGTGTTGTTTATGCTGCTGGTCTACAGTTCACACTTTGCGAATAGATAAAGTCAGGTGCCCTGGCCTCAGTATTGTCTTCACTTACATTATGTTAAACAAGTAAACGAACTCAGTTGACTCCTCTGTGAAGTGGGGGTAATAATAGTTCCTGCCTCATAATGCTGCTTTGATGATGAAGTGAGAGAAGCCTTGTAAAGTTCCTGTCAAAACACCCAAAAATTTCAGTTATTATTAATAATATTAATATTGTTATAATCTATTGTTTTATCTAACCCTCCAGATTTACAGTTAAAGAAACTGAGGCTCCAAGAGATTGTCACTGTCCCATGATCCCAGAGCTAATGATCAATGAAGCTGGGATGTAGCCCCTAGACCCCGGGCTTCCAGGCTCTCTCGTGACACCAGACTGAGTGTGCCCTGAGACATTTACAGAGATTGAACATTTTCAGCCAGTCTCAAACTCATGATCCTCATGTTGAAAGTAAATACAAAAACAAGCCTCAAAAGGATATAGGCATCCAACAAAGCTGACTGACATCAACCTTGTACCACTTATGCCTAATTGAAAGCAGCATACTGTCATGGGTTATCAAAATGGAAACCAGGGACATGCTGAATGAGGATACTTTTGAAAACGAAATAAATGAGATGTTGGCATTGCCCCTATTTTTGAAGATGAAGAGACTGATTGGCATTGGACACTGTCCTTGACTCCCAGGAGCATGTCAGGAGCAAAATTCCCAGTTACAGTCCACGCTTCCAACGAGACACTTGGGACAACAGAAAGTTATGGCCAGAGCATTGCCTACCTTTGGCCTGCTGAGAAAGAGAAAAATGTCTTAACTTTTGCTGTAATGAAATTACGCATTTTTTAAGAGAACAGAACAAACCATCTTTTTCTAGCCAGTGGAATGTGATGTGTTTTTCAGCTGAGAAGGATAATAAATTCTAGTTTTGCTGAAATAATATGTCTAAGCTGGAAATTAAGAAATTAGATGCTCTTCTCAAGTCCCCAATCCGCTTTCTGCTTTAGAAAATTGGGACGTTAGGGAGGAACAAAGATCCTTAGAACATTTTCTTCAAGGGAAATCTGAAAGGAATACTTTAGATTAAGAAAAACTTCACAACATTCAGAAGATTCCAGTAATCCTTGCATAATATCAGAAAAGTCCTTTTAATTTTACTAAATCAACAATTTACTTTATAGAATTATTATTATAATTAAACTGATTAATATATATAAAGAGCATAATATAGACTGTAGCATTCAATAACTGCTTCATAAGTGTTTCCTATTATTAGTATGAATAATTATAATGATTTGGTCCTATGTTAAAGCCACAGGGTTTACAAGCTGGTTCAGCTATCTGTGACTTTCATGACTTTCTGAAGTAAAGAAATATGTTTCCCAAATTGTATAAAATACAGAAAGATTGTGATTGAGGGGAAAAGAAATATTTTGACAATAAAAGTTTTACTAAACAGAAAATTAAACTTTTTACCAAGAACCTAGTTTGTTTTTTGTTTACTTGGATTATTGTTTTTCAAATTGGTGTACATGTTCTGTGGAGAAATATTCAGGACTTTTTAAAACCACAATTGATTGATTCCAACCTAAGATAATCAGAATATACAAACAAAATCACAATAAGAAATATTCTACGTCTTTTTTTTCCCTTGACTTTTCAGTTAATCAAAATCAGGTTCTTAAAAACCTGGTTATCTTACAGAATATTTGCTTATGATGCTTATTTCACTAACTGTAATTTTTCAGTGTGTCCTGACATCTTATTGAGTTTTGAATGGCCCCTTTTACTGTTACTTTTGGACAAGACAGTTCCACCTTATTTACAGTACTAGAACCCAAGGGTATGTGTTTCAACACAATGCTGGAAATATAAAACTGTGCAACTATGCATGAGGGTAGTAAAAATGTGATTCAGGGCAAGTCCAAAAACATGTTGATTCCAATCATTCTTTCACTTTCACGGAGAAGAGAATTAAGGCTCATTAAACATGAGTGATCATTTCAGCTGCGTAAAAAATATGTCAGCATGCAACTAGGAAGGACCCTAGAAAACAAAATGGTTTTCAGTAATCAATCTGGTACCACTAAGCCAGTCCCCTGCAGGCTCTCCTATCTGATCCCGTCCCTGCTTCTACTTCCATTTATTACAATCAGGCTCTTGACTCTGTTCATCTATTACAGCCTTATCCTGCCTTATGGACTGGGGTTGCAGCTGACCTCTCAAGCTCCTCTACTCTCTGCAGCACTTCAAAGATTAGCATAGAGTCACGTTCCCACTCTCTGTACATTGTACAATCCTGGAGAGTTTACATCTCTCCTCAGCTGACCCTTACTGACCCCAAATAAACTCTCATCCATGGTCAGTGGCCCATATAGCCCCTTCTTCTTCTTCTTCTTCTTATTATTATTATTATTATTATTTGAAATTGACATTTTAAGTAAAATTGTGGTTAGATGCTTTGTGTAACTTTATTAATTTAGGTAATGTAAATTCATACCATAATAACTAGAAGTCAGGAGAAAAATGAGGAAGGGAAGATTTTAGTCGACCAAATGCCTCTCTAAAATAGGTTTCCTCTTAAGTAAGTCTGCTTTATCTTCTCCATTGCATTTGACTTCTTAAGCAGATTTATGTCTAGACCAGCATGTTCTATCAGTAGAGAGTGTCTAGACAACTTCCCCCAGCTCACTCTCCTGTAGAGGCAAGCACCTGATTTTTTTGAAGCCTGCTGACTGTCTACATCAGGTACAGGGTTCTATTAAATTACCTGAGTTCCTAATGTTACTTTCCTCAGGAAAAAAAAAAAATTCAAGAAAATCAAAACAGCAGCAGTTTATCCAGGCAAACACTTACTTAGCTATCATTAGCCCTCAGTGGGATTCCTAATTCTATCACCAAGTGGCGTGGGGGAAAGGGCAGCTTTACTTCTGTCTTTTGAATTCTAGCTGAAAAACAAAAAAAGGACAGTTTTCCCCTTATGGAAGCTTAGAAAGAGATAGTGACATATCTTCAATCACTTCAACACTTTCCTTACAGAATATAATAAAGAATTTCCCAAATAGCAAAATACAATGTCATCTTCATCTGCTGATACAATTATGTCCTTGACAGCAGAATTCAGACAAATCAGCTAGCTAATTTTGGGCCAAATAACAATAGTTCATTACATCACAATTTACAAAAGAAACAAAATTCCTTTCTCTAGAAGGTTTCCAGGCCATTTTTCTCGCTGCATGGTTTTATATTCATCAACATTGATTTAAAACCAAAGGGATCTGAAGGAGCAGTGGCTGGGCAGTAATGCAGTGCCACCTAGCTTCTCTCCTGCGGGATGGTAGTCCATCACCAGTTGTTCTCCATAACTGAAGGAACCAGAGTAGAGGCAACACTGTGCTAGGACTATCTGAGGCAGAAATAGACAAAGAGGAAAATATCTTCTTTCATATTCATCCAAAGACAATTACACGTCAGATATATACCCTGGAGTTAGGCATGATCCTCCACAATCTAGTCCAATCACTCCATCTAGCCTCTCTCCACCCCATCACCCTTACAACTCTGCAGAAGAAGGCAGCTTGTACATGTACAGTGCTTATGATTAAGACTGCTCATATTATATATTTCCCCTAATCATCCACAGCATATGCCATGAATATTCCTGCCTCTATTATATACACTTTTCCCAGCCTAAAATCTATAACTATTTGTTCTCTTTCAAGTCCTTTCCAGTCCCAATTCCTTTATGCAGCCTTCTCTGACTACATCAAACCCCAGTGATAATCTCACCTTTGAATTACATTGTATTTTCAATTCTCTACTGAGTCTTTTACTACTCTGTCTATTCCACCCATGTATCTAGACTGTCCTAATTATCCTTCAAGACTCAGCTCACCTATCTACAGCTGTTCTTGATCACATGCATTCCCTCCACCAAACAAACTGAGTAGTTGCCTGTTTGGTGCTCTCATAGTGTTGTGTACACACCTCTAACAGAGAACTCATTTTTATCTTTAATTTTTTAAAATACAATTTTATTTTAACTTTTGTAAGTACATAGTAAGTACATATTAATGTATTAATGGGGTGTATTAGATTTTTGATACAGGCCTGCAATATCTAATAAGCACATCATGTAAAATGGGGTTTCTATCCCCTCAAGCATTTATCCTTTGTGTTACAATCCAGTTACATTCTTTTTTTGTTTTGTTTTGTTTTGTTTTTGAGACGGAGTCTCGCTCTGTCGCCCAGGCTGGAGTGCAATGGCGCGATCTCGACTCACTGCAAGCTCCGCCTCCCAGGTTCATGTCATTCTCCTGCCTCAGCCTCCTGAGTAGCTGGGACTACAGGCACCCGCCACCATGCCTGGCTAATTTTTTGCATTTTTGGTAGAGACAGGGTTTCACCGTGTTAGCCAGGATGGTCTCAATCTCCTGACCTCGTGATCCTCCTGACCTCATGATCCGCGCGCCTCGGCCTCCCAAAGTGCTGGGATTACAAGCGTGAGCCACCACGCCCAGCCCAGTTATATTCTTTTAGTCATTTTAAAATGTAGAATTAAATTATTATTCACTATACTCACCCTGTTGTGCTATCAAATACTAGCTCTTATTAATTAATCCTATTTTTTTTGTACCCATTAACCATCTCCACCTCCCCCAGTCCCTCTCTCACTACCCTTCCCAGCCTCTGGTAACCATTCCTCTATTCTCTATCTTCATGGGTTAAATTGTTTTAATTTTTAGATTCCACAAATAAGTGAGAATATGTAAACTTTGTCTTTCTGTTCCTGGCTTATTTCACTTAACATAATGACCTCCAGTTCCATCCATGTTGTTGCAAATAACTGGGCCTCATCCTGTTTTATTACCAAATAGTACTCCATTGTGTATCTGTACCACATTTTCTTTTTCACTTTATTTGTTGATGGACACTCAGGTTACTTCCAAATCTTTGCAGTTGTGAGCAGAGCTGAACAAACATGGGAGTGCGGATATCTCTTCAATACACTGATTTCCTTTCTTTTGGGTATATACATAGCCATAGCTCTATTTTTAGTATTTTGAGAAACCTCCAAACTGTTCTCCATAGTGGTTGCATAAATTTACATTCCCACCAATGGTGTATGAGGGTTTCCTTTTCTTCATATCCTCACCAGCATTTGTAATTGCTTGTCTTTTGGATATATGCCATTTTAACTGGGGTGAAATGATATGTCATTGTAGTTTTGATTTGCATTTTAAAGAACTTGCTTTTATTTTTTCTCTGTTAAACTTAGAGTAGGGCCTGTGTTTTAGTCTTCTGCTTTAGAATAAGCATTAATAAATTGTTGTTTAATTAGTAATGCTTGAATGAATGAAATATAGCCATGTAATTATTTCATATGGTACTCACTGTTTCTCCAATTAGTTGACATTTCTTGGGAAAAGACTGTATCTTTTCATCTTTCTCTTGCTCATCTTGGACACAATTGCTGATCCCTGCCTGATCCCTTTTTACTTCATAAAAAAGCAAAAATTTTAAAACCTACATTTCCCTAGTGAATTTACTCTCCCACTCTCAAAGCCAACCAGTTTCCTCTTTCTTCCCATCGACACTCCCATTCTTATCTAACTAAAGGCTTACTTATTATTTCAATAGAAAACAGAAGCAACCAGAGTTTCTGGAAACATGATTGAGAGACAAAAATTAGAGAAATCACCTGAGGTCAGACATGAGACCAACAGACAAATGTGCTGAAGCACATAGTTTTGGCTTCCTTGATCAGGAGGAACTGGAGATAAAGCCTTTGGTGGGCCAAAGGCATTGTAGACAGGTGAGAATCTGCCT